AATAAGTCACACTCAACAGACTTCAAGGACTCCTTAAGACTGCGGAAAGTGGTCTTAAGGGTAAGTCGGTTGTTACTCCTACTCCTATCAACTCCGTCCCTCGAAGGGTACCAAGGGTAAGACCCTTGAAGGATCCTCTTCAAATGGAACCAAGAAAGGTTTCGTCACTCCTTCTACTGACCTAAAAGAGGTTGAATGCTTCTATTGCTATGAAAAGGCACATTGGAAGCGGAATTGCCCAAAGTACCAGCAAGCTATGAAGGATAGGAAAGTTAAACCCAACCATGCAGGTATTTACACTATCTTATCTAATAACTCACCCTATTCTAACTCTTGGGTCCTTGATACTGGTTGTGGTATTCATGTTTGTTCTGATTTGCATGGACTAAGAAGAAGTGAGAATGTCGAGCATGGAATAATAAACTTGATCATGGGGAATAGGAAAGTTTTACTTGTCATCAAGATTGGAGTTTATACTTTATCGCTAAGTAGTGCGTTTAGTCTAGATTTGAATAAATGTTGTTACTCTCCAGGAATGGCAAGAAATATTATTTCCTTTCATGCATTGTATAAACAAGGTTTTACCTTTTTCATTTGAGAATGAAGTTGGTTCGATTAATGCTTTCTTTAATACTGTTCTTTATTTTAAAGGATTACCTTGCGATGGTGTGTATGAAACTGTATCTGTTGTGGATAGCTTAGGAAATAATGTATTGTGTATTGATTATGTTAATGATAATAACTTGGATAAAGCATCATTATGGCATTGTAGTCTTGGACATATAAGCAAGAAACGTGTAGGCCAACTTCAAAAGGATGAAGTCTTCACTACTAGAAAATAGCCCTTTAATGACGCACAAACAATGACACGCGGTGATTTACGATACGCAAAAGTGTGTGCCCTAAAAATAATGTTATCTCTTCTAAAATTTGAAGGACAGTGGACACGTTTTTATGCGTGCCCTAAAATTAATGTCGAACAAAAAGAAAAAAAACACGGAGGACACTTAATTAAAAATGGCTGTCGTCTAGAAATGTCACTTTATAATTTTTTAATGAAAGGCGCGTTCTTTTCTTTTGCAGGTGGGGGGAAACGAAAATCCCGAAAGTTTGAAAGGCCGCCATTGTTACCCTCTGCCATATTTCCACCATTCTTCTCTCTCTTTCTCTCTCTATCTCTCTCACTCTAATACCCCAAAAAAACCCTAATAACATCACCAATCCTCTTTTTTTCCCACAACAAAATCGCAATATAATCCTGTCTTTTGAATAGATCAAATCCATAGGGGTTCTCGACGGAAGAGATATAGTTTCATACGAGCCCTAATTTCTCATATGAATTCGTTGACTTCTTCAAATGGTTCTCAGACTTTTTTTTTCTCTCTATACATTTTCTTCTCCTTCATTTCTCGATCTCCAAAAGGTCAGGAGAACACTGAGTTTGCAATCGGATTGGTTGGTCGTAATCCTGAGAGAGTTGAACATCGGTGTATGCTCGTTGTTTGTTAAAATTCTCAAAGAAGGTCCCATGAAAGAGCAAGCAGTTGCCTCCTGGGCTGTATCGTTCGATTAACACAATTCATCAAACCCTAGAATCGTAAAGGAAACCTAGCCCCCACAGCTTTGTTCACACTTCACCTCCTCAAAGAACTATCGGTAATAAATCATATTATTCTTTGCTTTATACTATTTGTATGCGACCTTCTAATCTCTTTGATCCAAGTTCTATTTAGGCTCCATATGGAGGAAGTATCTTCGTATGCGACATTCTAATCTCTTTCATCTTTTTTTACATCTCAACGTGTTTCCCAAAAGCATCATAACTGGAACCGCACTTCAGCAACTAAAAGAGTTCTTGGATCAGTCGCCATCCCGGAGAAGATAGAGGAAACCATGGATCCTGGTTCATTGCTTTGGCCTGTAACCGAGCCTCGATTACAGTTGTACTTCTTGCTTGGACTCGTGTACTTAACCATCACCCATATTCTCCTTCCATTTATCATCGTCTTCTTTGAGTTTGCTTATATGTTTATTCATGATATGAACACAAGTCAAGATTCGAATTTGATGCCTTCTGTTGACCTCAAGAATGCAATATCAGTGAATAGAAACTTAGAAGATTCAATGAATTCAGGGAAGATTATGTTTTTGCGATTTGCACATCTGTTATTGATTTCATGGTTGTGTAAGTTGTTAGGTTTTTTTGTATGTTAACTTGGTTATGTTCGAAATATTGTGTTCAGGAGATATTCCAGCTGCTACAGAAGAAGATGTTAACGTTTTTGTGGATGCTGCTCACAAAGCTCTGCAAATTTCTTCACGAGAAAGCATTTTCAACCATGGAAGCTGCCTGTAACACCGTAAATTTCAAAACAAAATTTTCAATTTTTATAAAACATAATTCCATCAATATTCATAAAAACAACCATTTTAATTATCCAAACAAGACAATACAAAATCCCAAGATCATAATATCAAGCTCCGAACGTGTGTGTGTACGGATCAAGCCGGCGCCTTCCCGCGGTCGTCACTAGTACCTGAAACAATAACATCAAACACTGTAAGCACAAGGCTTAGTGAGTTCCCCAAAATACACATATAACACATATTAGCCACTCTAGGCTATAACTCTGTGGGTCCGTGCACCCAAACTCTGTGAACCCTCAGGTTCTAGCTCTGATAGACATGCACCACATAAATCACATAGAAATAATGCAGTACAACACATAACATACATAGCATACAAATACTCTATCACATAACTCTGGTTACCTACTCAAGGTAAAGTATAGCGAGAAGACTCACCTCGTGTGTCTCGGTAAATCGTAACCCTGAAATCGCTAATCACTCGATATGCCGAGCTGTAGTCCCCCTATAGCACAATACATCCCTAATTAACACTTTCCCAACTAGGGTTGACCACACTATAACAATTCAATTTAGGTCAACGCTGGTCAACGGTCAACGGTCAACTTTGACCGGACTCGGCGAGTGCGCTATAGCGACTCGGCGAGTCTGAGCGTATACACCAATTTCCCTGGAATCCTCCCTTGACACGTCGAGCATTCACTCAACTCGACGAGTTCCACCTGGCATGAGTTGTGGGGCCACCACGACTCAACTCGCCGAGTCTCAAGAACAACTCGGCGAGTCCAGTTTGACTCAGTCCACCGGTCCATTCTGACTCCCCCTTGACTCACTGAGTCCACCCTCCCCAACTCGGCAAGACCACTCACTGTGTGGTCGGGCAACATTCATGCTACTCGCCGAGTCTGTTCTTCAGACTCGGCGAGTCCACACAATGAAATGACTCAATCTTGCTCATAAGGTCAGATCCAGTCCATTAATCCATAGATCCAGTCCCTCCAAGCTCATTTAGCACGTAAAGTTACAATCTTGATGCACATACAACCTCTATATGACCATATATGATGTTTTTGACTCAAATACCACAACACAAGGTCCTAGACTCCATTGTTATACATAAAGCTTGATGAGTGAGGCTCTCTGGACCTCTATGGATCCAGATCCATAACCTCAACACAAGGAGGGAACCATTGGGCATCAAATCATCCCATAAATGACCATAATAAGCCCTAAATCGCATAATGCTTCACCAAACAGAATATGGACCGAAATCATACCTCTAGATTGATGATCTAAGCTCCAAATCCACGAAATAGCAGCCTCCTTTGCTTCCTCTTGCCTAGAATCTCCTTCTTCTTTGCTAAATGGCACACACAAGGTCAAGAAATGCTCCTCTCTCTCCACAATCACTCAAGAACACAAGGGTCTCTCTCTAAGGGTTGGGTGAGCACAGATGACGGCCATAAGGCCCTTTAAATAGGCCTCAAGCCCGGGATTTTAGGGTTTCTCTACACAGACCCGCCGAGTCCATATCCTGGACCCGCCGAGTCCAGGCGCGATCCATTGTCCAATTCCGCGTCCCTACTCGGCGAGTTTGAGCTCCAACTCGCCGAGTCCCCCTCACAATTCAACAAAATTAAATTTACAAGATACCTGGTAAAATCTGGATGTTACACTGCCACACACGAACTGATACATCCAACAGTAGACGTTTTGCTGTCAATGCTTGCAGTAAAAAACCTGATCAAAACATTCATCTTGAATCGAAGGTAAATTTATATGAAGCTCTGCACTTCATTATGCTTTTTTGTGATTACAATACAAATTCTCATATCTTAGCTGCTTTCTGCATATTTAACACTATGTTATGTTTGATTTGCAGGTCTATATAGTTGTATATTGACAATAATATTATTGGAAAATAACTTAGTTGAAAATAGCAACTAGCAGTTCATTTATGGTGGACTTACAGGTGTTGGACAGTGTGAGATGAGATAAGAAGGGTTTGGTTGTGGGTATTTTGTTTAGCTTTCTTCTTTTTTGTTTGAATTTTGTTAATTAATTGGTGGACTTAAAGGTATTTGAGCATTTGTTCTGAGATAGATGTTTGTTGGGTTGGGGCTTCTCTTTCACAGTAAAAGGAAATGAGTCATTCATTTCATTGTAACTAGCTGTATACGCTCCCTTCACTTTGACTATAACACATGTATGCCTTTTTTTTAAATATGAAATTGACTTTTGATGAAAGCTGATAGAGGAATATGTTTACTTATGTGAGCTTTTCTATATTTCAATTTTCTAGTGGAGGACTAAATTTAGGAAGACAATGAACAAAGATGATAATGATGCAAGCACAAGGGCAATCGATTCTCTTGTGCAAATATAATATGTAAGATCACAATTTACCTTTCGTTATTTTTTTTTATCTTACAACTTATTTTTTCTCCTTTAGATTGTGAAGTATTTCAACAATGAGCAATTTGAAGCTAATGAGCATGATCAGTATTTAAAGAGTAAGTAGTTTTTATGCTACTCTCCTCACACAAATTTATTTATGTGAAAAGGGTAAAAAAAAAATTTATAATGTTTACCTCAGGGTATGAAGATGCTGCCTTGAAGACACAATGTAGTGCATGATTTGGGAGGTACCCAACTTGCATTTTTTTATAAATATCTTGTGCTATAAACTTCTGATAATGACAATGACCCTTAACTTTGTTTTTAGGTTTTGCTTGAGCCGATTGAAATGACATGTGAACCAACCTATCTTGTTAATTTTGTGGAGTTATATAATGTGTTGGCTTCCTTTCAATCTCATGAAGGAAGGGTGAGTGTTATTCTAGTTTACATGTTTTGAAGTACTTGCATGATTTTTTAAGTGTTACATGTCTCAAAGTAGATGCATTCTTTATCTGTAGATATTGAATTCATTATTCCATTAATACGAAACACAACTAATAGATTCTATATGATTAGCTTATGAGGTTTTTGAGAAATTGGTTTCATGTTACAGGTCCTAAACTCGCTTAATGGGATAAAAGACATGAAGTCACGTCTAACATCGAAAGCCGAGAATGTCTTCTCCTATGATCTTACTGTTGGAATAATATTATTTCCTTTAGGGTCTAGAAATGGGATTAGTAGCAAGCAATATTGTATTTAAACTACACATATGTATTTTCTCTTGTTTTGTTTTGTAGATACATGTTGTCAGGTCGGAAGAGAATGATGTAGGATATTAGCTTAATAAACATCAAGATAATTATTCCCTGGGAGAATGGGAAGTCAGAGATACATAAATTGGTATTGATTTCTTTTTAAATTTTCATACGAGGTTCACATTATTATTATTTGTATTTGTATTAACTTCAAACCTTAACATACACAGGTACTTGGATTAACAACTGTCACCTTTTCATCCAATCATGATGTTAGCTGTTTTGCACCAGATATCAACGTACCTTCTCAATTCATGAGGAATTTAATAGATGAAAATTCTTCAAGTGAGCTTCTAGAAGGAACTCAGATTCAAGATCCGTATGATCTCTTGGAAATTAAACTAGTCGACTTCCAGGTTACCTGTCAGCATCTTCTCTCTCATTTTCACTCAACATCTCACATTTCACATAACTGACTGACCAATGTATGACTTTCTGCAGATAAACTTGTTTTTGCTATTCTATCCTACTTATTATTTTCCTATTCTGGAAAACCTCAATGCTTCTTCTGCTTTAGCATTATGCATTGTTCCGGATGAATCATTACTGAAAGCAATGGAGGTAGGTATTTTTATATTATCCTACTAAAAGTTCAAAATTTGCGCACAATTGTCACCATTAATAATAATAATTGGTTTCAGGTTTATGTAGTGGTGGCACCATTTTTGGGACACGTGTCACCATCAATAATTGGTTCAGGTTTATGTAGTGGTAGCACCATTTTCAGTTGGCAGTGTAAATTTCAGATTTCTCTTACGAAAGGTTTCCATTCTTTTGACAGATGAAAATGTATGTAAAACTGTTTTTGTCATTTTCAAAACCATTAAATCATGTTTATTTAATCTGTGATTTTGATTATCTAGTGGAGCTCCAATGGTCCTCTACTAGAGATTCTTATGGGAAGCTTGTTGTTTCATGGTATCATAACTGCAAATGTGATGGAAGGATCGGTTGATAGTGAGCTTCAAGTGAACTACAATAACATTCATAAGGTGAAGTAGTTTTTCTAGCAATTTATGAATTGATGAATTGATGATAAGTTATTTTGATTATACTCTCCAGGTATTATGGGAGCCTTTCCTTGAACCCTGGAAGTTCCAAGTAAGCTTAAGAAGAGAGCAAGGAAAAAGTGCCCTTCAAAACAACCCATTCATGACAGATGTTCATCTCGAGTCAACAATGAATCTCAATATCAATGTTACAGAATCCTTGATTGAGGTTTCTTTCAGAACACTTGTATTGGTTTCTAGCTATTTTCTCTAAAAAGATTCTATTTTGATGCTAGGTCATACTCACAAATACAACAACAATGCCATTTGAAGTCAGATTCGATATCCCATTTGGTGTATCTCCCAAGATTCTGGACCCTGTATATCCAGGACACGAGTTTCCTCTTCCTCTACATTTAGCAGAATCAGGTCGGATAAGATGGCGTCCATTAGGGAACACTTACCTATGGAGTGAAGCTTATAGCATTTCCAATATTCTTTCTAATGAAAGTAAGATTGGACATTTGAGGTCATTTGTCTCCTACCTTAATCTAATCATATAGAATCTTCTCCTTTGATCTTACTGGAATATTATTTCCTATAGGGTCTAGAAATGGGATTATTACTAATAACAATAGATAATTACTTTGCTCTTCATGGGATTTTCAGGTATTATGTTACTTGGCTTCACTATTTCCAAAAAAACATAAACTTGTTTTGGCAAGATGAGGTACCAATGCCCCTGGAGTTCTGGCACCTTCCATCTTTACTTCCTATGTATCCAGGTTGATCTAATCGTATTAATTCATGTCTCAAAGTGTGTATTCCAATATCATGTATCATGATTTGTGTATTTACAAAATTTTGAAATAGGGTCTTGTTTAATGCTTTAGTTGTGTTTGCTCTAAGGGAGATCAACTTATCAAAAGTAAGTTATTTTTTCACCCTTTTATTTAGTATTTTTTTGAATGAATGAAAGTCTTAATGAAAGTAATTGACAACCCTTTTTCTGTAAATGATGTTGTGATTGTGAGAGAGGTGTTGTGTTTTTCTCTGTTGCTAGGTAACCTTCTCAACAACAGCATTCTACTTAAGCAGGTGAGTAATCAAGATTAAGGGAGACTTGTAATCATGTTTGGCATTCCTTTCCAGTAAGAAACAGAGTTGTATGATTATTTGTTAGTTTTATGGGAATGTATAACCCATGTTACTAATGTATTATTTTGTTTAACATTTGAATGATTCTTTGTATGATATGATAATTTGTGCAATTTATTTTATTTTTTGAGTATGAAATTTTATTTTACATTATTCAATGGATTGTATTTTTTGTATATGATATTTTATTTGTATTACGAGAAATTAAATGCAAATTTAATTTAAAAATTAATAAATATATAATTTTTTTTAAACATTTAAATTTATGATACGCAAAAATGTGTGTCATCTTCATTTATAACATGACCTTTCTTGACAGGGGCTTTCTTGATACGCATTGCATGTCATTAACTCGTGCGTCGTAAGGTTACAACATGCGAATGCATGTCGTCTTCCTTTATGACATGGCCTTCCTTGATACGCATTGCGTGTCGTAAACGCGCATCGTAATTGCGCATCGTAAATGAGCATCGTAAATGCGTGTCGTCTCTCTTTATGATAGGGCCTTCCTTGACGCGCATTTGCGCATCGTCTGAGCCTTTTACGATGCACAATGAGCGTCGTAAAAGGATGTTTTTCTAGTAGTGCTTGGAATCATTTTGATGGATAAAGTGTCTAAGTCCATAACTTATTTGGTATATACTTGACCCGACCGGCATGGTCCATTTGGGTTGCATCTCATCCAAACTATTTATGGATAATTTTATGACAGTTATACACATATGTTTATTAATATATTATAAGTTATAATATATTAATATGAAGTTATGTTATTTAATTAGTTTTAGTCTTAAATTAATTATGAATTAATTTAGAGATTAAAAGGAAGACTAATTAGATTATGGGCTATTTGTTTTATATAGTGTGGGCTAATACTCATTTGTTAATGGACTAGGCTTATATGGAAGTCCATGGATGATCCATGGAGCTTTTAATCCATGGATCCTTGGAAAGGAAAAGACATGGGTTATTAGGGTTTCACACTAACCATGCACACTATATAAGCATGCTTATGAAGCATGAAATGAGACTAGTGAGCTAGTGTGTGTAAGCTTGTGTGTGGCTGAAAATTATACAAGTGTGTATACTCTCTAAAAGTTTTCCAAGAGTTTGTGGTGTTTTGTGATTCCATTTGAGGCATTCACACTATTGGTGCTTGGCCCTCAAACTCCTTAGAACCAAACTCATCAAAAGGTATGTAATCTCTTCTAACTCTTTTATGTTGAAATGTTCCCCATGCCATGTTAGATAGGTTATAAACCTTGGAAAATTATTATTTTGCATGTATTTAGACAAACATAGATCCAAGGTTTATTAGGGTTGCATGCACACTTAGGAAGTGTTAGATTGCTCAAAACCCAATAGTGGTATCAGAGCCTAGGCTTGCTTGTTTGATACTTGATGTAAAATAGTGAAAAAAAGTCGAAATCGTTGTTGTCTGCATGATGGACTCGCCGAGTCCATGGGGGGACTCGACGAGTCGAAGGCAAACTTCAACCTACTCGTCGAGTAGGTTCATGCACTCGACGAGTAGGATTGACAGAATGCATATTTTTGACTTTTGGTGTTTTAAAACTTATTTTAGTTGGTGTAATGGTTGTTCTAATCCATTTACAATAGCATATATCAAAATTCCATGATTTTATGTGTTCATATAATTCTTGAAATTTTGATGATCATGTTCATGTTCTTATGAATTTAGAAAATGATAGGAATTATTTTCCGAATTGTTTAGAATTAATTCTTGATCATTTATGTGTTTTAATGGAGTCCATAATTTGTCCTCAAGTTATGGATTTCCAAAGGTCTCTTTTATTTAACACACACTTAAAACACATAAGTTACATGAAAATGAAGAGTCTTCATTTTATGAACCTTTAATTCATAAGTTATGAAATGAAGAGTTTTGCATAGTTACAAAACTTGCCCTCAAGTTTTGGAATTTGTAAAGTTTCACACACTTTAATAAACTTTAATTCCAACCCTTAGAGTTTTAATAGTTAAAATTCAACCCTTATACTATTTATAACATTAATGGTATATATATATATATATATATATATATATATATATATATATATATATGTATGTATAAGAATAAGTCGTTTTACCGTTAGTAGGCCTCATTCACGAAGCCGGTCTATAAGGTGGGTATAAGGTTGTTGCCTATAAAATGGCGACTTAATGGGTGTCCATTCTCACCCACCGCTTGCTTGATCGGTGGAGGGTCGTTAGCCGAACGGGTAGAACAATGACTTTAAATCCTCATTAAAAGTATAATGATTATTATAAAGTAACTAAACTCTTTTAATTCCCAATCTTAGTTACCTTAGGAAAAATGTGAACATGGTGCTAGTCCATGGAATTCACACTTTGTACCTTACCAAGTCGTTGGTGGAGTGTGTGTGGGTAACCGGCACACTAACTAGGACTAGTAAGGATCACGAAGGGTGACTTAATGTTTTTCATAGATCAATGGAGTGTGTGTGGTTAACTGGCACATTGATTAGGTGATAATATTAAGGGTACCAAGTGAATTAGCATGGTTATTCACACCTTGTTTTGTGATCCTCGACATCCCAGTCACAAAACTTGAAGGGCACAATCGAGATTGAAACATGCCATTGAAAAGTTCAATGAATCTCAAAAGAATCTAGGAATTTCAAATCCAATTAAACCTAATAAATCATTTTGTTTTCGTGGTCAAAATTGGTGAATCGTCATTCACCTACCTTTCAAATATATTATTACTTAGATTACGACATCCCTCTTCTAAGTGTAATATATTGTGATTGGATCCTAGCCTTAATATTACATTTGGGTGTCTTATTAAGGATTCTATATATATAATCTAAACCTACTCTCTTCTTTCAGATGTCTCCCAACACTAATGCTTTAGGCTCTAACCCAACTGGTTCTTTCTCTCTCATGAATCTTTGTGTGAGGGTCATCTTTGATGGTTCCAACTTCATGGATTGGATTAGGAACATCAGGATGGTTACTCGTTATGAGGACAAAGAATATGTCCTCGATAAGGAGTTAAAACAGCTTGATGAGTCTACTGCTACTCCTGAGGAGATCGCTGAATTCAGGACTCATGAGAGAGATGCTACTAAGGTGGCATGTATCATGATGGCCACGATGACAGCCGAGCTCCAAAAGTCGTATGAAGATTTCTACCCTTTTGAGATGCACCAAGACCTGATGGAAAGGTACCATCAGAGTGCTCGTCAGGAGCGGTACGAAATAATCTCCTCCATAATAACAACCCGCATGAAGGACGGTGAATCCGTCACGGGCCACATGTAAAAGATGCAAAGGTATGTGGACCGTTTGCTGAAGCTCAATGTAAACATCCCTGAGGAGTTGGCAATTGACATCATTTTGCACTCCTTGCCTTCTTGTTATGACCATTTTCGTATGACATATCATATGAACAAGGAGGAAGTTACTCTCAGCAAGCTTCAAGGACTCTTGAAGACCGCGGAATCCGGTCTTAAGGGTAAGGCGGTTGTTACCTCTACTACTCCAACATCTACCCCTGTTTTGGCTATCGGGCAAGGCAAAGGGAAGAAGAGGAAGCACCCTTCAAAGGGTACCAAGGGAAAGTCTCTTGAAGGCTCCTCATCGAAGATCAAGAGTGGTTCTGTCACTCCTTCTGCCATTCCCAAGGATACTGAATGCTTTTATTGCCATGAAAAGGCACCCTGGAAGCAAAACTGCCCTAAGTACTTGCAGGATCTAAAGGATGGGAAAGTGAAACCCACCCATGCAGGTATTTACACTATATTGTCTAATTACTCAACATATTCTAACTCTTGGGTGCTTGATACAGGATGTGGTATTCACATATGTTCTGATTTGCAGGGCCTAAGAAGAAGTGAGGATGTGGAGCACGGGAAGATAAACTTGATCATGGGGAATAGGAAGGCTTCACCTGTTTCCAAGATTGGAGTTTATACTTTGTTGCTTAATAATGGGTTAAAATTAGATTTGAATAAATGTGTGTACTCGTCTGATATGGCGAGGAATATTATTTCTTTTCATGCTTTGTACAAACAAGGTTTTACCTTTTCGTTTGATAATGAATGTGGTGGTATTAATGCTTTCTTTAATAATGTGTTTTATTTTAAAGCATTACCTTGTGATGGTGTGTATGAAACTGTGTCGATTGTAGACAACTTAGGAAATAATGTGTTGTATATTGATTCTTCTACTAGCCTAGATAAAGCATCATTGTGGCATTGTCGTCTTGGACATGTAAACAAGAAACGCATAGGCCAACTCCAAAAGAGTGGAGTCTTGGAATCATTTGACCTTAAATCGGATGATAGTTGTGAATCTTGTCTACTTGGAAAGATGACAAAATCACCCTTCACTGGAACTTGTGAGAGGGGTGAGGGTT